ACTTCTCATAGTTTACAAGGACATCATGCTGGCTGTGTTCTACATGAATCACTACTGGCGTAACGTTCGGTAGTTACCATGGTGGCACAATGCAGACATTAGCAAACACTGTCAAAAAAGTTCATCTGAAAAGAAAAACACAAGCCTGAGATGAACACAATTTAATTTGCCTTCTGTTTGTGTATAAAATGTAGAAAGTAGTGCAAATAAAGAAATAAAAAAAACACTAAATGAGATGGTGCGTCCAAACATTTGACCGGTAGTAGAATCACAATACTGTCTTATTTTACCACACTATACCGTCTTGACTGTGTAACCTTGGTAGTACTTAGTGATGGTGAGCCTGCTCTTGGGCTCTGGTCCAGGTCTGCAGAGGGGGTGTGAGTGTCTATGGTGCAGTCGATCAATAACAGTGGGCCAAGAGCTACACTACACTATACATCTCTGTGACATGTCTGAATGCAGCGCAGATGTCCAGCGTCGAGAGCCAAATATGAATGGACCACGAGGATGCTAATATTTCATTGAAAGGGGGTAATAGGTTGTCCTAAAATTAGTTGATGTTATAATTTCAAATAGTCAGGAGCTTATGTACCATATTTTTTGTACTATAAAGCGCACCGGATTATAAGGCGCAATATCAATACTGTTGAATTCTCTCGTCTATTTTCATACAGAAGGAGGACTGGATTATAAGGCGCATTAAGCAAAACAAACGGACACTTGAGACTGATCCCTTAGCCCAGGCATCCACGATCCATTGGCAGATTGTAACATAATAAGCGTGGGGTTGCCTCCCTGTCTTGGTGAAAGTGTATTATGAATGTGAATGTGGGTGGATAACTTAAGTTTATTTTTTTATTTCCTACAAGACGACTCAAATATACACTGAGTAATAATGTGTTTAATGCAGCTTTAAGGACATTTGATAACGTTTTACAGAAACGAAACTTAAAACCACATGGCTAATTTACATAAACTATAAGCACTGAAAAAACAGCTCACTCCTTGTGCTGCAAATGCGGTCAGCTTCTGTCGGACTAACTTTGCAAGGCTCCTGACTACTGTAGCCGTAAGCCTCCGACAATCCATCAAGCGGTGCGGCTTCATAGTTTACCAGAGTTGTACTAAAACATTCGGATAGATTTTTGAGCGCTGTGTACCACATAAAATCGGTTTGAGGTCAGTACACACAACCTGAATTAATACATAAGGCGCACTGGACTATAAGGTGCAACAACGATTTTTGAGAAAATTAAAGGAATTTAAGTGCACCTTTTAGTCTGAAAAATACGGCACCTCTTCTGATACTTTGCAGCTGATGTCATGTATATCCATTGGGGTCTGTCTGAATCTCTGTTAGACTTTAATCTGAGCTTTATTTTAACACAATCTGACCAGAAAGAATTGACTTGGCTGGAACTACAACAAGTGAACTAAGCTGTGAGCAATTGCCAGCAGTTTTTTAGTTAGTCACTCTGACCTTTGTTGTTGAAAATCAAACTCCTAAACAGCAGCACGAATGCTTGTATTGATCACAAGCTCCAGAAAATGTGCTGTTTAAACCCATTTTCTCTTCAGTTTTGTGACTATATTAAAACATTTTGGCACTTTTTGCTAATGGGTGCATTGTGTCCGCCAATAGAAGTACATGTAGAACACCCCCAGCGTGATATCAACCGCAAAGTATCAGTTTTAAAACATAGGAATTGTAGGATGTTGTGTTGATGTGCAGAGTGACATGGGCCAGGCCTTTGTGAGTATGTGTGTAAGAGTAGCCATCACTAGAAGCTTGAAAACACAGTGGGACTTATACAGTATCCACTCTCAGTTTTCACTTCCGCTCTAGACTGAAGTGGAAATTTGATTAGGACAAATGCAAGGACACAGCAGGAGCAGAGGGAGGAGGTCTGTCTCTCCTGCACATAGAGCTATAGAGAGGGCGTTTCCATTATTTATTCCTTGATACACTCGTGTTCAGATGCTTCATGATCAAACACGTGTTCTTTTTATGGTTGATAAATAACTAGGTTTAGACATTTTTCAGGCCATTAGTCTGGGCTGGAGGGGAGGGCTTCACATCAGCGAAACAGAATTAAAATTCAGGTGGAATACCAAGACATGCCATTAGTCTCTGCGGAAAAGAAGCAGTGAATTGGACTGTTAAAGATGATAATTGTGAATAATACTTTATATTTTTTTTGTGGAAATAGAACATTTTTGCTTGAAAATAACTTTCGCTTTAGTACCAATAAAAGTGATGCTTTATTGGTGTATCTGTCATTACCTATAAAAATAGAATGTTAAAAATGTTCATTAAATACAATTTATTTGAGGAATTAACTGTTGTTTGAGGCTGCGTTTATATGATGACGGCCTGAACAAAAGACGCAAAAGTGGTGCCGCGTCTTCACTTTTTATTCCATGTTTCTGGGAGGAAGTCAGCATGCATACGGTGACGCAAAAGTGTGTGGAATTCAATTGGGTATGCATGCCAGGCGGCTCGGTGGTGACGTAAGGTGGTAATGTATGTGACGTAAATGCGTACGCGACGTAGGCAGATCTGACCAGAGTTTTGCGTCTTGTGCAGTGTGGACGGAAACGCTACAGCGTATTTAACTTTTCCACTCTGGAGGGTGGTTTCAGATTTTTGCATTTTTAAGCCCCAAAAACACCATCACTGTCTAAACGAAAGGCACTTCCGATAAAATATTTTGTAATTTTTACTTGTAAGCGTTCTCGTGCAAACGGGCCCTGAGTGGTAATTGTAGTTTTCTTATATAATGGAAATCTATATTGCATTCCCAGAACCCATAGGAAACCATTCTAATAATTAACACATTTTTGACAAACTTTTGATTATTGACACTGATACTTTGCAGTGGCTGGTGGTTTTCTACATGCATCTGTATTGGTGGAATGCACACACTGGCAAACACAGACAAAAAAGTTTTAAGAAACTCAAGAAACAACTAATTTTACAGAGCCTGCGATCAATACGAGCCAATATGAGCGTTCACGGCCCCTTTTATAAAACTTTATGTGTGAGAGACTTGTTTAACAGCACAAATCAGCCCTTCTGTTATAGTTCCAAGTAAGTCAGCACTTTCTGGTCAGATTGTGTTCAAATAAAACTCAGATTAAAGTCTAACTTGAGTAAGAGAGCCTCAAGAAATGTTGATGACATGAGCTGCAAAGTATCAATACCTTGTTTTTTATCTGTATCAGTATGTGAACCCGCCCAGCCCTGTGTGGAAATGACTTGTGTGCTATGGGTCAGTATGAGTGCTCATATTTTGCGTAAGTGGTGAAATTGTGGAAAACACGCTTCACTGTGAATGCGAGTGAGGCACGAGGACAACGGGTAGAGTGGTTTAGCTTAAGTTAATTTACCGTAAACACAAAGCGCAAATGGTTACAGTTCTGAGTCATCTGAGTACTTTCTTATTGTAGTCTCATTCTTAACAACAAATGTGCCGGTAGTTATTATAGCAAGTAGTAACACCCTAGTATTTTTTAAATTGTTATCAGTGCGGTATCTCAGTATCTCATGAATCTCTTACTGAGTCAGTACTGGATGCACAATATCACAACTGAATTGAAATGGCAATTTGAGTTCATTCAATATTCAAATCGCAAAAGCTGCAATTCTTTAGATAAAACAATGTAAAGAACTAAATTTTGTATCTCTTTATAGAAAAATCTTGCTATATCTTTTAGTAGTTTCTGATCTGTTCTGAAATGCATGGGATTCTTGTGTTATATTTCTTTGTCTTATTTACAATGTGTACTCAGAATTCTACTTCAATCAGATTTGGGGCAATACATATAAGACTAATAAAAATCCAATCTTTACTATGCAAAAAAGGGCAATAAGAGCAATCACATTATCATCTTATAATGAACCAACCAATGCATTATTTATAAACCTTCAAACTCTGAGATTTTACGATTTAGTCGACCTTTACACTTTGAAAATCATGTTCAAAGTAAACAACAATCTCTTGTCAAAATCATTACAGAATATGTTCAAAATTCTAAATAGCCAAGGTGAGCTCAGAGGTACGGCCATGTTTATCAAAAAGGAAATCAGAACAAACATTATGAAAGTTTATATCTGTTAAAGGGATGGAGCTCTGGAACAATTGTACAGAAAACCTAAAAATGTGCACCACTCTCTTCCATTTTATAAAGAAGTTTACATGTTTAACTCTGGGCAGATACATGGATTATGATACTTAGTTTGTGCTGTAGTACTTTGTTGTACTGTTACTGATTTGTTTGTTTCCTTTCGCTGTATTTATGAAAATGAACCGGTGTCAAGATGACGCTCTGACAAAGGAATAAATGGTAGGCATAATAAGATGAAGCTTCAGCCTACACCTTTTCGGTCTGTGTATGTTAAATACAACCATCTGTCTGTGAAATAATGTCAGAATATACCTGTAACCAAAATCAATCAATCAGCCAATCACAATACTAATCCCAACATTGTACTATTGATACTGTGCAGTGGCATCATGCTGGAGGTGCCAGGTACCATGATACACAATGCACACATTAGAAAACACTGACAAGAACTTTTTTTTATTTAAGCAGGGCATTTTCAGAAGCCTGTGATCAATTCAAGTGTTCAAGCATTTTATTTTCAACAAAAAGGTGAGAGTGACTAACGGAAAAGCTATTGGTTAATGCTAGTTTGTAACTGTAATGTCATTTGAGAGGAACTTGTTTAACCGTAAAAAACTTGTTGCAGAGGTCAGATTGTGTCAGATTAAAGTGTAACAAAACCTCAGAGCAGTTCCCACAGTTAGTATCACACCTCTGAGGGAATCTTGATGCCATGAGCTGCTGTCAACTCCCTGATGTTTGATGGCAACAGACCAGTAGTTAGTTAGAAAAAAAAATGATTTAATGCATCAGCAGCTGCAAAGTCTCAGTTGCCCCATGCTGCTGTTGTGTGTTTGTGTGCGATAACTTGTGTAATAAGAGTCCAGTACCTGCCAGGCGGTGAGGCAGGAGGTGCACATGAGGTGGCCACAGGGCTCGATCTTCACATCTTTGTCGTTCTCCGCACAGATCTTACACAGCTGGAACGTGGAGCCCATTTCACAGTAGAGTTCATACTGCTCCTGTGCGCAGAGACAGACTGTCAATACAGATCAGGCCAAGCACGAGCGTCTCACAGTGTGCAGTTGATAAAATAACCACAAGATAGTCATGTGAACAGGAAAGCCCCACATCTCTTGAAACACAATATAGAAAAGATTTACAGGCAGGCAAAAGACATCATGAAAAGAGTTAAACAGTTATTGATTCTTTGCAGTTACATCACACCCCGACATCAAGGGGAATGTTCACAAGGTACCAATTGTGACACAACGCACACTTTAGTAAACACAGCCAACAAGTTTTAAGAAAAGTCAAGAAAAAATACAAAATGGATTTAAACAACACATTTTCAGGAGCCTGTGATCAATACGAGCGTTCATGGTGCTGTTTAGGAGTTTGATTTTTCAACAAAAATGTGAGTGTGATTAACTGAAAAACTGTTGAAAAATGTTAACTAGTTTGTGACTGTAATGTTATTTGGAGAGGGGTCAGGCCTATGTTCCTTTATTCCTAAGAATTTTCTTATTTCTAAGATTTCAAGTCAAGTCATTTTTATTTTTATATTGTATCTAAAGGGATGATTCAGAGTAATTTCAACCTAGGGTCATTTTCACCATGGCCTCTTCATTACATCTGTAGTCAACCGCTGCTGGATAATAGGTCGCGTGTAACTGACTACCAAATTTGGAGAAATAGGGATAAAATCTGATGCAAATTGATGATAATGTGGGAACATAGGACCTAATATTGAAAAAAAAAAAAAAAAAGACCTTAGAAATGAGGGAACATAGGCACGCTCCCATTTGAGAGGGACTTACTTAACATCACAAATCATATCACCTCTTTCTGGTCAGATTGTGTTAAAATAAAGCTCAGATTAAAGTCTAACATGAGTAACAGAGCTTCAGACAGAGCAGTGCCTACAGTTAGCATCACTACCCCAGGGAATATTGACGCCATAGGCTATAGAGTATCAATATTCATATTTTACTGCCAATTCCCTGATGTTTGATGGCAACAATCTAGTAGTTAGTTGGCAAAAATAAATAAATTTAATGCATCTTATACCATGGCAGGATAGGCCAAAAACAGACCATTTCAGCCACAAGGGGTCAGTAGAGATGAGAATATTTGACTAAAAAGCTATCAAAATCAGAAAGGCCATACAATGTGTTTTTCATTCACTACTGAAGTCACAGCTGCCCTGGGGTAGACTGGAAAAATGAGGGTGCCAATCTGCACCATCGGCCTCATGCGCTCACTACATTCAAACTAGGCAAAGTGGGTGAAGTGTTTTGCCTAATGACACAACAACAGTACACACTAGACTAACTCTCCACTCCAATTTATCTTACCTTCCAAGATGGATTGGATGAGTTTAGGCATTGGCCAGGTTTTATGACTGTGAGAGATCATTATGACCGCTCCAGTACCTCCTTTTCTAGCATTTTATTCTCTCAGTTAATAACATTTTGTATTGTGCAAGTATGTTTTACTTATATACAGCTGACAGGAAAAGTGATGCTACATTCAATCGGGAACTAAATATAAGAACTGAAAGCAAAAATTCAGTTCAGCATTTTATAAATCAGCACACAGCTCAGTACCATTCTGTGAGCACGTAGGTCTGTCACGATAATTACTACATTAACCTACTGTTCAATATATGATACCTGGAACTATATATTTTGGATCTCAATATTTATCATGTGCATATTTTGTTGTAACAGTAGGGTGGTTTCTGCTATTATTTATGTGAAATAGTAAGACTTGTGCTGCACCTTAAACTGTGGCTGAAGGAAAAACAAGTCTTTGAACACTTTTAATCCACTTTTTTACTGTTCTGTGCGATGTCTCTTTGTAACTGTTCAGTATTTTGTATTGTTTTCTGTGTCACATGCCTAGGGACACAGATGAAATAAGCATTTTTTGTATAATCTGTCATACTTAAACTGCATTAGGGATGTTTTTTTTAAATGTGCACTATGTAACTTTTTATTTGGAGGTCTGTTACCTGCTTCTTTGTACGGATATGTCAGCTCTAACTTACATTTATTCAATTACAGGTAGTTTAATTGCGCAAAAACCCCAGAAAAACAAGCATTCTGACTGTGAGCGGGGTCGCCTCTCCACAGATCTGACCTGTAACTTGGCCTGGTTTGGTCTCCATGAAGATAGAAAGACTCCACAGAATAGTTACACAAATATAATATAGAAATAGAGATGAAAAAGTAACTCCCAGTACTAATTTTTGGTTCATACTGTATTAAAAATGGTTTACTGAGATTAACCTGCTTTATTTATAGTTGTGTAAGTGGCATAAAGCAGTTTCAGTATTATCATTTATCGTTATATTTCTCTGTAGCAGTATATCATGCTTCAAAAAGAGTTACCGTGACAACTTATGAGTGAGCTTTTCCAGTCTTCCACAGTTTAAACCAGAGCATGACCAACAGAAGAGCATCTGAATCACATTAGCCTCACCTGTGTCACTTTGATGTGATCGTGAGGCGTAGGTTCACACAGGCCAGTCAGGTCCGGGTTATAACTGCGACCATCAGGAAACAAGTAGCTAAAAGGATAAAAAATGATAATATAAATGTATGGAAACACTTAAGAATAACTGCATTTGAACAGCCTTAAAGGGCCCGTATGAGACTGTTTTCTGAGCTACTGTATATTTAATGTTTCATCATAAAAATACATGGAGTTGAGTTTCGTTTCATCGCACGTGTTTAACACACAAACCATGGATATTTAGGCTGAGTTCTTTTCTCAAACAGAAAACACTCTGTTCCACACCTTCATTAGAATCATTTGGATTATTGTCAGCCCTGGAATTGTCAATCTCCACTGAACAAAACGTAAAAGGAGCTGAAAACTACCACTGTATGACATCACAAGGTGGAACAGAGCATTTTTGAGCTTTGGGCAATAATACTAAAGTCAATTTTGCGTAATATAAGACCTTTAATAAAACATGAAGAAAGAGTTAATTCACAATAAACAAATGATTTTATTGAGAATGATTCAAGAATGATTTAATACTACAGCTACTACAACTACTGCTACTACTACTACAACTACAACTACTACAACCACAGCAACTACTATTACTATTATTACTACTACTACAACTACAACTACTACTATTACTATTATTACTACTACTACCACTACAACTACTACTACAACTACCACTACTACTACTATTACAACTACTACTACTACAACTACTACTACCACTACTGCTACTACTACTACAACTACAACTACAACTACTACTACTACAACTACTGCTACTACTACTACAACTACAACTACTACTACTACAACTACTGCTACTACTACTACAACTACAACTACAACTACTACTACTACAACTACAACTACTACAACCACAGCAACTACTACTACAACTACTACTACTACAACTATTACTACCACTACTGCTACTATTACAACTACTACTACAACTACCACTATTACTACTATTACAACTACTACTACTACAACTACTACTACCACTACTGCTACTATTACAACTACTACTACCACTAACCAATTGCTACTATTACTACTACCACTACCACTACTACTATTACTATTACTATTACTACTACTACCACTACCACTACTACTACTACTACCACTACTACTACTACTACCACTACTACTACTACTACTACTACTACCACCACTATTGGTTTAACTACCACTACTACCACTACCACTAACACTACAACTACCACTACTACCACTACCACTACTACTACACTACTACTACTATTTTTAAAAAACTAACTTAACTTTTATCTATCTTATGTATCTAATCAGATACAGCCACTTTATCTTATACTTTAGTGTTTTGGCGTCGCAGTGTGCTGCCAAGAGTTGAAGAAGTGTTCTTTTTAAAATGACATTGATAAATATTTGAAACTTCCATTAGCTCAAATACAAGATTAAGATTGATCTAAAAAGTATAAAAATAAATAATTATTTTCAATGTGAATTAAAAGACGACTGTCCCAAGACTAATTTAATCTGAGAAAGAAGTTGATATTAATTCACGAAAGAAAGAAAAAAAGAAAGAAAAAAGAAAAAAACACAAATAATTATGCCGACAACAAAAATGACAACAGACAGCTGGGTGCCTCATTTCATCTGAGTGTTAATTTGGAAAATGTTTTGAGCAGAATTGAAGCATTTGAGAGTGACAGATGAAAGCCAGTGTGAGGGGACCTTCTTTGGCCCCAGAGGTGCTTGGGCCTCCGTGCTTGATCAAAACCAGAAAGGCTTCAAACGGGACCCCCAAACCTGCCCTCCCTTTCCACCCCGCTACAATGGAGCCACAGCCAATTGCCAGTGATGGATGACAGAAGAGAAACATGCAGAAAAAAGGATAAAGAATGTTTGATGTTGCCTTGACGATGTCAGATTAGCAGGTACAAAACTGGTTTATTTCATTAAAGAAGTGGATTTGTGCGACAGACTTAACAATATAAATGAGACAGGACACCAGGCAGACGATGTTAGTCAATTATAATTATTCATTCATTACATTTACTGGAGTAACCTTTTATAAAATTGTACTTCTCTGAGTCATTTTACTTCTACTTGAGTAATATATTTTGGGATACACTGATCCAGCTTTTTAGTTCCGATACGGATTTTGATACTGTAGCTTTAAGGATCTGCCGATACCCGATACTGATCGATACCAGAGACTGAAAGCAGCATTTACTAGTATTTCCATTAAACAAAAATAACACAAGACAAAACTGATCCAAATATGTTATGGCACTGTTATTTATCCCACACTTAACTACAGATCACATTTGTATAAATAAAAGTTCAAATTTTAGGAGACTTTCAGGACCAACTACCAGCAGTAAACGGTCTTATTACATCAAAATCAGGATATCGGATGAACCTATATTTGGAAGTCGATATTCAGTCCAGTTAATTTCTCAATATCAAATCAGTACAACCCTAAGTATATTTACTCTTACTGAAGTAGGAGTTTTGGTGACTCTTACCACTGTGGGAAAGTCTTTTTGTTGACAATATTAAATTACATTTGCGTTTCTTGTACCGCTGTTTCAGATATGATTTCAGTTTTTGTGGTCTATCCTCTGAAAAGACAAGATCACTACTTTAGATTTACTAGAGTACAACTTTTGACAGCTCTACCCTCCTGTGACACACAGACACTCTCATTTCATCTGTTTGTAGCTTGTTTAGCCCAGCTGATCAATAGAGCAGCATGGGGTGAAAGAGTGGAAGAGAGAGGAGGACGGAGAGAAGTAGATAGATAGATAGAGAGCGAGAGAGAGAGAGAGAGAGAGAGAGAGAGAAACAGACAGAGAGAGAAAGAGATATAATGAGACAGAGAGAGAGGGAGTGTGAGAGAGAGAGGATGGGATACAGGAAGAGAGAGAAAGAGAGAGAAAAAGCGAGCGAGAGAGAGAGAGAGAGAGAGAGAGAGAGAGAGAGAGAGAGAGAGATAGAGCAAGAGAGAGAGAGAGGATGGGATAAGGCAGGAGAAAAAGAGAGAAAATGGGATACAGGGAGAGAGCAAGAGAGAGAGAGAAAAAGAGAGAGAGAGAGAGAAAGGATGGGCTATAGGGAGAGAGACACAGAGAGAGAGAGACAGAAATAGCGAGAGAGAATGGGATATAGGGAGAGAGGGAGGAGAGAAAGTGAGAAGGTGGGCTACAGGGAGAGAGAGGGCTGAGAGAGTAAGAGAGAGTGAAAGAGAGGTAAGAAGAGAGAGAAAGAAAGGGAGAGAGTGAGTTACAGAAGAGATGGGAGAAGAGAGTGGGGGGGGCGAGAGAAGGGACAGAGAATGAGTGGGATAGAGGTAGAGAGAGGGAGGAGAGTGAGAGTGATTGAGAGAGGGAGAGAGAGAGGAGGGAGAGTGGTGACGTACAAGCCCTCCCTGTATCCGTCGATGAGAGCCTGGAACAGAGGCTTGTTGTGGGGGATGGTCTGTAGGATGTTGCCGTCGTTGGTCACATATCCGATGGCCCACTGGCCCAGCCGCGTGCAGCTCAGTCTGAAGATGTAACTATGGAAACACAAACACAAACACGTGTCACACAATGCGTCAAGAAAGGGGAAAAAATAAGCTAGTTAATATTTTATTATAAATCTTACAAAGCTTTTCATAATTTAAAGTGTTTTCAGTGATTCGGCTGGTACAATTCAATCTGTTACAACAGCGGTCGCCTCACAGGACTAAACAAAATTTAACCAACAGAAAGTCAGAAAATCAAACAGTGAAACAGCAGATTTCAATATAATAATGTATTCTTTATTTCACGTTGATGCCAAAATATAAGTGCTTTATGTAACTTTTCTGGTGAAGAACCCATCACCAGCTTGTCTCCATGGAGATGTAATCGATTTGTCCGGAATGTTCCACTACGTAGCATTAAACTTATATAACTTTATAAATACAAGGCAGGCAAAGTTACAGGTCAGATCTGTGGAGGGCCGAACCTGTTCACCGTAAAAATGCATAAGGTGTATTTGAGTTATAAAAAACCCTTGATAGATATGTTTAATGTCATACTGTGGAACATTCCAGAAAAGTTACACAGCGTTATATATTTTTATTGAGGTATCACAGTATGTCCATGCAAGATTTACAGCTCATATTTTTTTCCTTTACATTTTTCTTATTTTCAAACTCCCCATCTTAATAATAAATGTCAAATCCAAATATGATCAAAAACAAAATAAAGGAGAACATAAAAAAGTTGCTTAGTTGTTGCAATATTTAGGATTTCTTAAATTAAAGATAAACACAAAACCACTGGGATATTTTAAACAAACTACAGTGGATTTCCAGAGAATCAACATATTTTAGCGAGCTATAAGTGACGTAAAAATAGTATTTTGGAATGAGCATCGTCAATTAACAAGGTATTAACTGGGAGACCAAATATAGTTAAAAGGGGGTCAAGGGTCAACCTTAATTTTAAGAGCATTAGAAAGCATTTGTCTGCAGTAGTGTAGTAGTCTTGAGCAAAAAAAACCCAAAAAAAAAACATGTGACTCAGATTACATGGGCTGGCATTGATCTACAATCTGTGGGTAAATTTACATAGTGTACCTTAAAAATATCATTGATGATCCACAACTTATTCTGTATAAATATATAAAAAGAGAAGTATATATGTGTCTCGAGTGGTCCTACACTGCACTGTTCTGTTGAGCCTATAGTGTTTGGCTCTTTAAAAGCACTCACTGATAAGAGCTGGGCCTTCACACTTCATGTTTATCCAACATTGACTGGGATGGATCGCAACAGGATGCCATAATGATCGCTGCCTGATGTATTTGTGTGAACTTCCTGGTTAAAGTTGCTCCACTAGCTTTCGGAGAACTCAAGTCATGGCATTCTTGACTTTCAACCTCTTAAAACAACTTTTCAGAATGTGCTTGGGAACATTCAACAACAACAAAAGAAGCAATAGCTAAAAAAATGTGGTGAAAAAGAAATCCGCAAGGCCATAGAAGCTCAGTGTTTTCAGAATCATGGAAAAAAATAAGTGGTAAATTATCCATGAATCAACTTGTCAAAATTTTGCACTTTTAAAATCACTTCTCTGTGAAAATCTTAACAGATGGAGAAAGCTGTTACCTTTAACCACTAACCCCTACTTAAGTCAAACACTTGATTTTAGAAGTTGTTTTGTAAAATTGCCCTTCTCTCACCGCACCACTCAGCTACGAATGAATCATCGCCAGCCATTCTATTTTCATTTTATTCATGCATAAATATTGACTATTCTGAAACCGATTTAAGAAACAATATCTCTGAAAGGAAATATTATAAAACTTGGTTGTGTAGGCGTAAGCGCATTGTGTAACTTTTTTGGTAAAGTCACCTGTTGACTCTATGTAGATGTTATTGTTTTTTTTTTCATGGAATGGCATTTAATTTCATCTCGATGGAGACAAGCAACTAGCCTGATTCATAAGCTGGTTTCACTTCATACAAACTGTCTGACCTTGCAGCATTAGAATTCGTTCGCTTGACGGTAGCCGGGTCCTTTTTTTAATTTAACCAATCGCTGCCTATTTGGTCGTGATGTATGTAATGCACCACTAACGGGGCTAACTGGTATATTAAGCTTTTCCCAAATCCCATAGGAAGTAGGGCAACAATGGCTTTACCCTTGATAAAATTCACCAAACTCTTTGTTCCGACTTTAAATCCTGGATCACAGGAATCGTTGCCAACACAGAATGTATGGCTCTTCACTGATTGGCTGGTGCCTGAACTCGCACTTCCGGGGTTCCGTCTAGTGCAGGGGTGCCCACACTTTTTTCAGCATGCAAGCTACTTATAAAATGTCCAAGTCAAAAATGATTGACCGACTACAAAGCCAAGTAAACTGTACTGGACTTAAGAGAACTTTCAATAGCACTTTACAGAAAACTGAAAAAAGTGAAGACAGTGATTAAGATTTTTAAACCTGTTTTTTCAAGTTCTTAACTGGAGTTACATGGTTAGTACTAGTTTTACAGTGGGATTTAGCCTCTGCACATTTATCAAACCAAACACACGTCGTGACAAACCCAGATGTATTTGTGCACGTTTATTAGGCAAACTTTAGCCACATGTCGCGGTAGGTCTGCTCTGTGCTGTAGGCATCCTGTGCCAACACTCTAACATAAATTTAGATGGCAGGACCCTGTGCGCTTTACGCGGTAAAGAGCGAGAGCGTGAAAAGGCGAGGAGCGGTGCGCTGACGTGAGTAGATGGACAGGTAGGATGTTTAAAAAAAGTTTAACTTGCCCTGTGATACACGCTGGTACACAAGGACTAACGCTGTTGCAGACAAGCCGTGCGCAGGGAGCGTGTGTGATTGTGATGTGCCGCACAGTACCCGCGTGTTCCAAATGATGCACAGGCTACAGAGAGACACTCCGCACGCTCCCGCACCCCAGTACAAGTTTACTGCCAACAGCAGCGGCCATAATATGATCGCACTTGTCCAGTGTCAGACCTCGAGTGAGAGACAAGACCGAGGCCAAATGTGATAGAGTCCAAGACGAGTACTAGGACACTGCGATCTACCCACACTACCTTGGCGATCGACTGGTAGATCGTGATCGACGTATTGGGCACCACTGGTCTAGTGTATTCCGATTCCTGACCTAGTCGCTGGAGAGAAATGAAATTGAGTGGAGTCACTAGGTGGTGCCAGCCTGGCTAACAAGCAACCACATCACCAAGAAAAGTTACAAGTCAGATCTAATATGATGGTAATACTGTATACTTTTGTGGTAGTTTTGAGAAAGTAAAAACACGTAATTGAATAAATACAACATATATTTTTTAATGCTGTACTGTGGAACATTCCAGGCAAAGCAATAACATCACCAATGCACCTTTAAAATATCTGCCTGACAGGACAATATTCATACCATACTCCAAACAACCGTACAACAACTCACCCTTATATAAGAGATAACCCTATGGCCTGTCAATCACTCTTTCAGTTTTGCACCTCATGTACATAGCTGAGAGACATGTTTGTGTTACTATATTTCTACTTTTTTTTAAACTTGTACATGTATATTTATATCTTTCTATTTTATTTTTCCTTGTACATTTACATTTATATAATTATGATTTATTTAAAACCTGTCTCTTGCTATCTTTTTTGCTACTTATTTAGAATTTATTATTACTATTTATATTTTTGGTCTTTATTATATTATATTGTGATGTGTGAGCTACTGTGTCCAAGTAATTAACCTTGTGGATCAATAAAGTTTGTCTAAGTCTAAGTCTAATATAGTTATGCCTTATTTGACACCAGTCTTGTTATTTTTGCTGCTTATTTAGAATTCATCATTACTATTTATATTTTTGGTCTTTGTTATTATAATATATTGTGATGTGTGAGATACTGTGTCCAAATAACTTCTCTTGTGGATCAATAAAGATTTAAGTCAAAGTCTATGTATCTAGAGTCACGATTTTTACATTTAGATTGGATAGAAAAGGGTGAGTTGGCTCGTTAGTTGATAGTTCATAAGCTATAGTTCCAAAATGCAGTGCTATAGTGACAACAAAAATGTTTAATAAAATAAGTTAATGAATACATTCTGAGGGCAAAATAGTGAACTGGGTCACACAATTTATTGCAAATCATGTCAAAATCTATGGACCCAGTCTCACATCTCGTCTCGTCTTGTAGGAATTGTCTCGTCCCAACCCTACTATCTATCTGTCGGTCTGTCTAGAGTGTATTTATCTATCTATCTACCAATACCGCCCTAATCATGGGTTTCACTTTCTAGTTTATAGGTGAAGTTTGAGGACTTTTTGAGGACATTTCAAAAGTCTCTCTATCTTGTTCTATCGTCTGGATTGAGAACAGAAAAGCAACAATCAGTGGGCTATTGGAGTGCTCTGAGTCACTGCCTCTGCTCTCTCCACAACAGGACTGAGGAACACTGCAGAGAAAAGACCCACTAGATGGACAAGTCAAACAAAACAAGTCCAAGTATCTCTACTGAAGAAATTGTAAAAAGGCAGCACTTAACTTGAAAACTACCGCTTCATGACATCATTCATGAGTATTTGAGCTTTGGACATGTACACTAGTAATGCAGGTTTGCTCAAACAAAACATAACTACAGGTATGTACACCTCACAAGAGTAAATTTTGTGTACCGTATTTTTCAGACTATAAGTTGCACTTTTTTTCATGGTTTGGGTGGTTCCTGCGATTTATAGTCCGGCCTGACTTTTTTCACACTGACAACTGCGGGAGGGTGCTCTAGGCTCGTACGTCAGTATTGACTTCGTGCCCTACTGCACACATCTCCTGCAGAAAAAGCGATTATCCTGCTGCCAGCAGTGAAATATTCAGCCGAAAACGGTAATCGAGCAGCAGAAAGAAAGTTTGGAGTGAGCGAGAAACTTGTGAGGGATTGGTGGAAAGCGAAGATGGAAAACACAGCTTAACGATAACCGGGAGGGTGCACCAAGCAACTTTCCTGGAAGTCACTGAATGGATTGACAAAGCCTGGACTTCAGTG